CGCGGCCCAGAGGGGCGGCGGCGGTTGCCCTCGCCGGCACCCTCACCGTTGGCGGCGTCAGCCTTCTCGCCGGCAGGCTCGGGCTTGCGAGCGAGCTGGACGGAAACCTTGCGCTCCAGGATCTCCTTGCCGGACAGCTCAGAGATGGCGCGCTCGGCCTCAGTAGGGGTAGAGAGGTCGACGAAGGCGTAGCCAACGGGACGGTCGGTGCGGGGGTTCTTGGGAATGGAGACGGACTCGCTGTAGACAGAGGCAGGTCAGCAAGCGGTTTAGAAGATGGCGGTAGTATTTAAACGTGATTTGGGGTGATGTTGTGGGCGATGTGTCATCCGGCAGATGAGCCCACGGAAGGAACATCGCCACCGATGCTTTGGACAGCGTCCTCAGCAATGGTGGTGATTTGATCGTGATGGTTCGGGAACACCCTAGCCATCATAACGACGAGGTTGCGAGTTCATCGAGATCAAGACTGACAGAACAGGAAGGGATGCCCGCTTATGAGGACAGGTATTGCCACATTCAGACGATGGTGCGGGAAGGAGAGTGATGATGATCATGATGACAGAGAAGATGGAAAACTCACACAAGGTAACCCTTGAAGAACTCCTTCAGTTCCCCCTCGGTCGTCGCATAGGCCAGGTTGCCGATGTAGAGACGGCGTCCCTCAGCAGCGCTGGCGAGGACGGCGTCATTGTTGGCGGCGGCAGGCTTGTTGTCGGTGACCTTCTCGGCGATCGAGGTATTGCTCAGAGCATTGGTAACGTCCTGGACGGCGTCGGTGACCTTCTCCACAACGGCAGACATGTTGGATGATGGGATGTGTGTTGTGTGGTTGGAATATGGAGATGGGTGTTGGTGTTGAGATGACGTGCGACGAGGTTGTGTCGAACTTGGAGGACCTGAGTTTAGAAAGAAGGTCCGAGGTTGGAAGATGGATCGAAGTTCGGGATGAGTTGAACTCTGAGACAATGGAGGGGGATGGTTAGGGTAGCTTGGTGCCCTAGATGCTTGAAGAGGGGAAGACAGACGACTTGCGTTGCGCGGTGACACAGTTTCTTGATGTTTTGTGATGGGGAGAAGAGGGAAGAAAGGAGAGGTCTGGAGTTGCCTGGAGGTAAGTACAAATATTTTTTCCCCTTGAGTGCAGGGGGTGGTGACCAGGGGGGCAAATGGGAGGGGGTCCAGCACCAGACAGGTCGTAGGACACCTCCTGTGGAAGGAGTGGAGGAGCGACGGCACGAAGAAAGGGAGGCGCCTGCTCGTGTCTGTGAGCCCTGCCACGTACTTGGCAGGTACCTTAGTCTTCCGTACTCAGGGGAGCTCATAGGGGGGGGGGCTTCTGTTGTGTGACGAGCAGGGGCTTGAAGGGTGTCAAATATTCGAACATGGGCCAGGCACGTTTTGCGGAACTGTCGCTCCAGGCACATGGCAAGACAGGTTTGTGTTCCATTCCTTTTCTTAGGCACCGATCATGATGCTTTTTTCCTCTCTCCAAGCAGTGTCGAACACTCTCGACATGGGCATAACCAGCCTGTGCATAAAGCCCTGTGAGGCCCAGTGAACTCCCAAGCCACGGCAACTTCGCTACTAGGGTGTCTGACTTGATCGCGTGCGTCGGCTTCTGTGAGTACAGGGAGAAAACATTCCTTCAGGCACTGTACATCATAAAAAATCGCCCAAATTGGTACTTACGGCAGGTGCCACTCGATCTTGTTCCCAGTCGTGACTGCGGCAACCAGGAGCAAGGAAGTACTTGCCGATTTTACCGTTTGAAGTTGAGGTTTGGTGTCGTGGGAGGCGGTCCAATATGCATGCCGCCACACATTCTGTGTTGACCTGTCACATGTGGAGTTCTAAACCTCACTGCCAGCGAGCTCTTGCCACGTCCGTAGAAGCTAGCCCCAAGCTCACGGCAACTGCCCGTCTAGTGGGTGTGTGGGTGCCAATGGCCCCAGCTTCGCCATCACCCCATGTAGGTAGTGACTGCCCAGTGGCTGTCTAGTGGGTATAATGCTCCCCCAAACACGCTGGAGCAGCCAGGAGGTCCCATGCAACCCTTTTCGTGTCTGGTCTATCAAGCAAGTACCACGGTGCTGTACCTACCTACGGTACCTCCTTGTGACAGTCAGGGGGGAGGAACCTTGGCTGAGAAAGAGGCTTCTGGAAGCAGCCCCAGTCACCAACTCCCGAGCGAGGAAACAGGAGTGAACCCCCTCTTCTTTGCGGAAATCCTGTTGATTTCGAGCATTCAAAATGTCCTTGAAGGCATGCATTGAAGCAAACAACCACTGCTGACATCTTCATCACGCATCTGATTTCACTTCATCATCAGGTAGGCAGGCGACGTTCATGCTAGGGCCACTTGCAAGGAGGGTAGGATACTTCCACCGTCGATCGCCTCACTCTCAGGTAGACCTCTGGGTTACATTCACCATCACAGACCATCAATAGCGAACAGCATACCAAAATAATGCGGTTACGGGCTCTCAATCCTCCAAGCGAATTGCACAATTCCCATGAGATTGCCTTCGGACCTGGACAATCTCCCTGGTCCACCCCCTTTCGCTCTCGGGCGTTGCGTCAGTGACAAAGACCCCTGGCGAGGCGCAAAGCCTCGCCCTTGTCAGCCCCTGGACGGGGTTGCTCAATCTTTTGATTCTCAGCACTCTTCCCCCTGTTTATCGGCGGCTGGCTTACGATACGAGTCGGTAACTGGCATCGATCACGTTCTGCTTGGGGTTACGAAAACGTACAGTGGTTTTGTCGTGCTATTTTTTTTTTCATGCTATCAGCCCTTCGCGTGATGTATAACAGGCCCTTCTTGTTTCGGCAAAGAGAGGCTTCTGAAAGCTACATCACGACAAGGCGATGATCAATCAGCCATATAGTATGGCCAAACCTGGCGCGAGTTTCCTTGGAGTCTGCATGCGATGGCGCCGCTTCTCCGGGCCTCTGGGTCCCCGTTGCGCTGAATTTCCAGGGTAGCAACCCCCTTCAGGCCTAGACGCTGTTAATCTCACTACCTAGCACCACAAAGTCCGATTAGCGATCTCGCCCGACATGAGCCCTGTCGCTCCGTGGCAGCCAAATCCGCCCCGTGGCTTCGCACAATACGCATGCCGAGTTTGGCAGCCGCAAACTCCGATGCCGCCGATTGTTAGTCACACTGTTGGGAATCCAACGACGCATCGCAACTGAATATCTCGCGCTTGATTCATCTGCCTCTTGCAACTTCGCTCCTCTCACAATTTGCCTCAATCCGAGCTTTGCGCATCGCCTAGGTCAAGATGGCCGTTATGGAGAGAGACCAGCCAGTTGAACTGGCTGACCTTCCCGAAAGATCTGCCCTGGTATTGTACGGGTCAGAGACGGGCAACAGTCAAGACATTGCAGAAGAGCTTGGCAAGATGACACAGCGATTGCATTTCAAGACTAAAGTTGATGAACTAAACATGGTCCAGCTTGTGAGTCTTTTAAACCCTTGTGCCATTGCCAACGTGTTATGAAAAAGACGTTAACCTCGACATCCGTAGAATGAGCTGCTTCGTTATACGCTGGTCATCATAGTCATATCTACGACTGGCCAAGGGGACATGCCACAGAATTGTCTCGCGTTCTGGAAGAGTCTCCTGAGAAGAAAGCTGCCACCGGATTGCCTGAAAAGCGCCAGATTCACCACATTTGGTCTTGGGGACAGCTCTTATCCGAAGTAGTTCCCCCAGCTCCCACTGTTTACTCAACACATGACTGATGGTATCACAGGTTCAACTGGGCTGCTCGAAAATTACACAAGCGTCTTGAACAGCTGGGTGCCACTGAGTTTTATCCTCGAGGCGAGGGCAACGAACAAGACGATGACGGGTAGGTGCTGCGAACGGACTTCTCAGGCCATAGAGTCTGTCTAACGCTGCCCGCAGCATCGACCAGACCTATCTGCCCTGG